TGTAATATCTACAAAGTTTTTACTGAAAGTAATGGCTTCTGTTGGGCCCCATTTGATCTCTGTTTTTAACAGCTCCCTATCTACTGGTTGTGTCCCTGATTATTTTAAAACGGCTTGCGAGAACCCACTTTTAAAGAAACCTGGTTTAGATCCTTCCCTCCCACAAAATTATAGACCAATTTCAAAACTGCCTTTTATTGCAAAGCTTTTAGAAAGAATTGTGTCCAAACAGCTGCTCACTGTACTGGAAAATAACAAATTATCTGAAAGGTTTCAGTCTGGTTTCAGGAAGTACCACAGCACTGAGACTGCCCTGCTTAAAGTCACCAATGACCTTTTAATGTCTGCTGATGAAGGCATGTGCTCAGTCCTGGTACTCCTGGACCTTAGCGCTGCTTTTGACACCATTGATCACAACATCATGTTAGACAGACTGAGGCACTGGGTGGGGATCTCTGGTACTGCTCTAGAATGGTTTTCATCCTACCTGTCAAATAGGAAGTTTTGCGTGTCTGTAAACAACTATGTCTCCTCATTCTGTCCAGTTAAATATGGTGTGCCTCAGGGGTTGGTCTTAGGACCCATTTTGTTTTCCTTGTATCTGCTTCCCCTTGGACATATTATCAATAAAATGGTATGTCTTTTCATATTTATGCTGATGACACACAAATGTACTTGCCCGTCAGATCCACAGACCCTGGAATGCTGAGTTCACTTAACAACTGCCTTTGTGAAGTTAAAAAATGGATGTCAAATAATTTCCTCCAGCTGAACTCAGACAAAACAGAAATCCTGGTCATTGGGTCCCAGCAGATGGCAAATCAAATACTGCCATCTGCTGGTTCCCTAGTAAATCACATTAAGCCTGTTGCAAAGAACCTTGGTGTCTGGTTTGATAGTAATTAAAATTTCGAGCAGCACACCACAAAGCTTGTTCAATCATGTTTTTATCAACTTAGAAATATAGCAAAAATGCAATCTATGTTAACTTTTAAGGACACAGACCATTTTACACGCCTTCATCTCATCACACTTGGATTATTGCAACAGCCTTTTCACTTGTTCAACCCAAAAATCTACTGATCGGCTCCAGACTGTCCAGAACTCAGCTGCCAGGCTTTTAACCAGAACAAAGAAATATGACCACATTACCCCTATTTTAGCTTCATTACACTGGCTCCCAGTATGTTTTAGAATTGACTTGATCACTTTTAAAGCTCTTCATGGCCTCTCGCCTTGTTATATTTCTGACCTTTTAGTCCCATACACACCAGCACGTACCTTGAGATCCTCGACTGAAAACTAAAGGGGACAGCATTTGCTGTCAGGGGCCCGAGGCTCTGGAACAGCCTGCCCGAGGAAATCAGGTCGGCTGAGTCAGTGAACTCTTAAGTCCCTTCTTAAAACATACTTTTATAGGAGAGCCTTTCCTGATCTTACTTGACTTTATTTTATCCCTTTTATTTTATTTTCCTTATTTTATATTTATCTTAAACGTGTATTTTAGTCTTTTCAATGTTTTCTTGCTTTTATCTTGTATTGTTTTTGTATTATTGTCTTTTGGGTATTATTGTCTTTACACTTGTTAAAGCACTTTGTAACTTGTTTTTAAAAAGTGCTCTACAAATAAAGATTATTATTATTATTTTGGGGTACAGGTACTCTCACAAGAATAAAACTAAATGCCAGATTTTTCATTTTATTTTGGGGAGAGCAAAGATGGCTGTCTATATGAAAAACAGAATAGAGAAAGCTGTGGATGATGATGCTGTGTTCATGTTTGTAAAGATGTGGAAAGCCCATTTAAACGAATGATGAAGGATCTGGAAAGTTTTTCCAGTATGTGGTGTTATAAGAATGTTCTTTATTGTGTTGTAGATGATGAGCTGCTCTTTGAAAGTGTACCAAGATAATTTGGATTCTGTGAATCTTGTTTTACTGATTCTTGTTGTAGTTTTGTAACCTTTTGAATCTCCTAATAAATGTATTGTTAAATTTCAATTTCTCTCTCTCTCTATCTATCTATCCATCCATCCAATTAGTGGTTTCTTAAGTTTCCTAGTATGATTTCTGCTCATTTCAGTGACGTGGAATATGTAAAAATGATTCTCTCTCTCGCTCATTAGTGAAGGATTTCATTAATGACTGTTGAATGTTAATTGACAATGGGGATTAAATAAGAATCCCTTTCCTATAGCACATTTTTAAAAGTCTGTGAACATTATGCTAGACTTCTGCCTCACTGCCCTGGGTTATGGCTCCAATTTTAGCTTCAAATGTCTCTCCCAGATGTCAGGTTGACATGTCAAAACTCCATGTGCATTTTCTTTTCCCCTCTCAGAGTTCCTACAGCACTCTCCCTGCAGGGTTCAGGGCAGCCGGGATAACCCTCCAAATGAGAAGGGGTCATGTTCAAGCACTGCTGGAAGGGTGCTACCGTCAGAATGTCCTCTCTTGAGTTCTCCTCTTCTGACCCCGAAGGACTTCTGCTTTCCCTGCAGTAGGCTGGCTTTTGAACAGTGCCTTGCTGTAGCCAAGAACTATGTGTGAGTGACAGCTGAAGTGGGAGGAAAGTAGCAAGTGGTCATAAGAAAACCATCTCAGGGCATATCCTTTCTCGGAGAACTACACACAGATCACACACCTGCCAGTGAGAAAACACACGGTAATCAGTTCAGAATCTTCTGTCTGTGCTATACAGGAATATGAAAATGTATACTGAAGTAGTTTCATCCCACCGATGCGTAGTGTAGTGTGAATCTATCATCAACAGTTTTCTAGTAAATATTTCATATACACATAATTTACTAAATCTACATAGTTTTGTTTGTTTTACTCTTTTGTCTCTTTCTCTTAGTACAGAATGTTGTCAGGAGCCTCAGCCCCACTTTTTCCACTCAGTAGCAACACAGTTCTGTTAAAATATCTGATGTAAATCAGGCATATGACAGCTATAAACTCCTATTTGTCAAGGAAGGAAGGACAAGCGTTGTTTCGCCTCTCATCCGAGAGGCTTCTTTAGTTCTGACTGACTGGCAGGGAATCAGCCATGAACTTCTCTATGGGGTTTAGGGCTGAAACGATTTATCGAGAAATTCAAATAATTCTTTGCATCTATGCTTTGTTTAATCCATATAACTATTCAGCGCACTGTTTCGCACACACAGTTATCACTGTCACAAGATCAGAGAAAGAGACAGAAAGTGTTCAAAGTATGGGATAATTTCAGGCTAAAAGAAAACAACAGCTCTGTACAGTGTGTCTGCTGTAAATCAGAACCTACCGACCACAACAGCATGAGAGCAATCCTTCAGCACGTGAGCAGAAAGCATCCGGTCTACGCAAAGCGTAAGCCCCAATTCTTAGTGTAAATGTAGAAGCGTGCGTTTCTTGTTATTGTTCTCCGACTGGTTCATGAGTTCCCGCGACCGGGGGGCGCTAAGCAAAAGTATTTCTTATCCAATTACTCAGTGAATTGATGAAATAATCTGTGTAATCCTTGATTACTGAGTCACAAATATATAGTTTCATTTTTTATAAAGGCTCAGTAATTTCCTAAAGCATCTAGTCATTGTAGTTTAAAACAAACATTACTTAAACAGGAATACACTTGGGGACCAATAAGAAAATATAGAATATCCCCAAACCTAGCCTTTAACCTTATAGCTAATTAAAAAGCAGTTAAATACAAAGCCCCTAAAGTCCTGAAAGATCTTTTTTAATCTTGTATCTATCGCACAAGATAATGATAAAGCCAATCAAGGCACCAATTCCAAAATTACCTATTGTAAATATCCATTAGATCTTGAAGAGGTACTTCCTCAACTTATACTTACAGAGCTTTACTAAACTGTAAATTGGCTGCAAACTTGTCTAGCCGCTAGGCTAATGACATATGTATACAGAAATGGCAAAATATATGCAGTGTCTCCATTACATAGTTTTTCAAAAAGAGAGATCTGACAAGTTTATTCTTAAAAAATGTCCCACTCACATATCTTTATCTTTGAAAAAATACATTTAAGGAATCCTTATCAATAGTGTTTATTTAAGTTATGCATTTATGTATAAAGTGAGTAGGTCTATAGGCTAATATAGCTATTGCTATTGTTTATTTAAACACTGCGTTTGTGTTTAAATAAACTTAAACCAGACTGCAAGTCTACAGCCATGCCAGCAGCTCTGCGAAGTTGTGCTTTTAGCTAAATGCTAACTTAAGCTGATGTTTAGCAGGTATAATGTTCGCCTTCTGTTTTTAGCATGTTGTATTCTAACATTTGCTAATTTGTAATAAACAAATTACAGCTGAGGCTGATGGGATTTTCATTAGTATTTGGTCCTAAAACAAAGTACTGAACAAATGTACCATATTGACATGATAATTGTGCTAGAGGAAAAGTCAGAGGATTGCCACAGTTCATCTTGAGGGGTATAAGGTCTGTACCAAGTTAACCCATCCAATAGCAACACATATGAGAACTGGCCCCAGATTCAAATTGCTAACAAGGCCCAGGTTGTAAAACATGAATATAGAGTCAAATGGTTTTAATGCTAATGCAGAGAAGTACTGTGTAAGCCTGTTTCATGGTACTGAACCAATAACCTGAGTCTATACCAAGACACCAGACCACATGTAAGTGTGGGCTATTCCAGTTATCCAGACAAACTCCCACTGAGCTAAAAAGGTGATGTGGCGGTACTATCAGTATGGGGATCACAGCATGACTGTGTTAAAGCTTTCACATTATCCAGCCTTCTGACAGTGAGCCATATCCCAACAGCAACCCAACACCATCACTGCTGAGGATTAGGCTAATAGAAGCTAAAGGCAAGCTATAATATAGTATGACAATGTGCTGGTGGTACCCCGGTTCCTAGAAAACATCTTCAAGGTCATATTGCATTGCTGAATAAAAAAGGCCTTGAGTGGTGTGTTACAGATGGAACAAAAAAGGCATTTTTCCTGCTAAAGTGACATAAGTGCAGAGAAGATATCTCACCTCACACTTATCCACCACTGGCTGCTGCACACAGTCTGAGCTGTTCCCCACTGCAGCAGCTTTCTGACCCTCATTGTCACCGGTGCCCTCCTCTGAATGGGTTCGGCTCTGGTTACCACGGTGACCACTGTTTGGAAGGCGCGCCGACGGGCTCCTGGGTGGCCGGCTGAGCTCCCGGCGCAGTGCCCGATTCTCTTCCTCCACTGCCCGGACCCGCAGCTCTAAGGCCTGCCGCTCGCCAGCTCCGCCCACCGGCGCTGATGACTGGGCTTCCAATGGAGACAGGGGGAGGGGCTTCACTGTGGGATAAGGACAGGGGAAACTGATTTAACATGCGAACTGACACCAAAACACCACTGATGGTGGAAGTGCTATGGACAAAGTTTAGGTTGGGTCATCTTCTACTGCAGTATCAATGACTTCTCCACTCATCAATGCATGTTCCTAACTTGTGATCTTCCCTCTGCTGTAGTGTTGTGTTTTCTTGATGGCTGTCGCTTTTCTGCAGGTGTTTCTGTCTCCGGAGCAGGGGAGTCTGGATCGATGATTGCAAGCCACCTCCTGCCTCCCCATACCCCCCATGTTCCTTCTTGAAACCCGCTGCTACAATTATTATAAGTCCTATTATCATTGTAAATATTATCATCATTATATTATTATTTTTATTGATATTAGTATTGTTACCACTACCATTACTATTAGTTTACATCTCTATGTGAAACTTGGATTGTGCTGCTGTGTTTTCTCTCCTTCTGGCCTTTTGTTTGTCTGGTAACGTTTTTGTCCTTTTGCTATGTTTCCTTTCTCTCTGCAGTACTCTGGTGTGGTCTCTCTTGCAACACAGATCTTGATCTAAATAAAATAAAGGTTATAAATGACTCACTTTACGGCAGGCTCAGTTTGAAAGTTATCTTGCGCTTGTTTAACTCGCATTCCCAGCCACAGTTCACAAGGTGATGCAAAATCATGTGCCTTTTATCACTGTGTGAACAAACTGAGTGGTCAATGCGTATAGGAGACCAGCAGACGACACCAAGAGAGATAAATATGGAAATAGTCACTATCCATTCCATCAACCATTCCACTATCCATCTTCATTGGACAATGTTACTGTTCCTTCAGTGCACTTCCTCCCCAGCAATCTGTTGAAGTAAGTGAAATATGGTGGATTTCCCTTTAATATAGAAACCCAATGAGAATATCAGTGAGTATGTGAGGGTTTACATCAAAGTCTTGATGCATCTCAAGAGTACACAGATGTCTTTCAATCGATACTGTCAGTACTAACAGCGGGGCAGCCCACACTCTGTGTATCTAATCCAAGTCTGTAACTATTTCCTCCGCTCTTCTCTGCTTCAAATATGAACAAGCAGCCCTGAATCCTGTAGAGACAGAGAGATGGATCTTTTGAGAGAAGAGAAGCTCTCTCTCTCTCTCTCCAGTACATCTTAGAAACCTCAGCTCCCAAAGGGGAGGTGGGGGACTTGGTTGAAGATCATTAAAGAACACAATAAGTTCTCCAATCAGAATCTAACTGGGGAAAACAGACAGCCTTGGAGAACTACTTGTATTGCCATATGGCGTTACAGCTAAAATGACATGAATTATGTGTTTAGAACTGTAAATGCTGCCTAGACTGAATTGTAAAGTACTCTTACAAAGCTTCTCATTGGTCTTGGCGCTTGGTTTGTTCTCTAACCAAGTGTGTAAATGAAGTGACACATTTTTGTTTTCCTCAGATGCCCTGTAGCCATGAGACTTAAAGGTAGTCAACATGGGTCCTTTCAGCCACGAAGGGCCATTAAGCCCACTCCCACAGAACCAAAGCACCTTCTGGACTCTAATTCACTCATTTGCAAAGTGGATTTGCTGGCTTCAGTGAACATTTGTTTGTGCTGCTCAGAGATGGAATAATACTGACAGTAACCTGGATTTAAAGCTTTACTTGAACTCCTCAACCTTCTGATCGGATTCATTTGATATTTGTCCTAAATAGCAGTTCATATCAACAGTTTCACTGTCTGGTTGAGGTGTATTAGACACCTTGCCTAAAGAAAAGAATGTCCGGTTATATTAAATTTAAAAATAGGAGGCTTTATTTATCTCAGTGACATAGTGAACCAGGTGTTATTATCAGTGACGGACCATTTCTTTCTAATTCCAGCTGTTTTATGAGTGTATTTTACAATCCTGTGGTCAGAGGCGTACCTGTTTGATTTCTGCTATTGCAGCTTTTGTTAATACAAACACTTCCTTCTAAATGTTTACCGGTTGTCTTGATACATTCAGTATAATTCACATTTCTAATTCCACCAGTACAACAAAGTCATGTCATACTCCTTGCTGCAACAGAAATACTGTCCTCTTTCACTAATCCATTTAAATCGCTATTACTTTGCTGTTTATAGATGTTTTACATTAAAATCCTTTCAGCTGCTTAAGGGGCATAATGCCTTTCATATTCTGGTATGCTTTTGATTTGAAACATATACAGCAAGTCTTTTTGACAGTTTCTTAACATCAAAAAAACGTTTTGCAAAGGAATACAAAAATAACTAGTGAATGAACACAGCCTTGTGATTATGACATGACTGTAAAAATGTACATTATACTGAATTTGCCATGTGAGCCTTTAGAGTACAGGTGACTCCAGCCTTTCTTCATTTGTGCTGGCCACGTTATTTGAACTCTGGATTTGACCTAATTAAGATTTAAAAAAGGTTATCACTGGGGGACTGCTGTTGCATTAGAGATTTACAACACGGGATGCATTTCTATACTCTACGGTTAACACAGCTTTACACTATAGGCCAGATTTACTATAGGTTTGCGTGAGTAAAAACATGTGCAAACTTGATGGCACCAGCAAATTAACACGCCTGTTGTACATTTACTACTTTTGCCTTAATGAAAATGCAATTTGGGGCGTTTCAATTTTATTTTGCAAAGTAATGGGAGGGTAACATGCAAATACATTTATTTAATACACGCAATGTGATCTAACAAGCTGAAAAGCAATTTCATGTGAGTGCAACAGCATCTGTATTTAATACGTTTGAAAGGAAGGTGCAAACCGCCAAGTGTTGCACAGAGATGGCTGCTGTTATTGTTGCAAGGGGACACAGTAATGAAAGAAGACGTAGAGAAATTAAAAATATTAGATATTATTCTATATCCAATATATAGAAATAAAATTATTTTATTTTATGTATTCGATGAACTATATGAATTGAATTGTTTGTTTTTTGTATTTTCCTTTAGCTTTGGCAATACTGTTTTATTAACATTCATGCTAATACAGCAAATTTGGTTTCGACCTGACTTCTTTTCTCTGTGAGATGGAAGAATTTAGAAAGTTGCGTGGCGCTGCGAGAGCCCCTAGCTGCAGTAGTGCACAAGTAAAATTCATCCAGCCAGAGGGAACGATCACCAACTGTTCACAGCTCGCTGGTATAATAGTGACCCAACCCATTGTAAGTATCGGAGAGGGAATGGGGCGTTGGGGCGTACGGGGCCAGGGCCAGGAGATCACGGTGCGGACGGTCAGTGATTGTTCCCTCTGGCTGGTTGGAGCACGATCTGCTGGCATTTCCTCACGTCTGGGTCATTCCAGCGTACTGTAGCTGTTTCTGCTGGGGTTTCCCAAAGCCTGTTTTTCAGGTGTGCTGTCCCAAATAGTTAGTGGGGTTGGGCTGATAGACGATCATCCATGTGCGAGTCATCAGACAAAGTCTGTTACAGCAAGAAAGAAACATTGTTATTTGATATCTCTACCTGTTTTGGAAGCATATCATATAGCGTGGCTTCTATTTTTGATTCTTTTGTGTGATTGTTACAACCTACCCCAGCATGTGTTGTAAGAAGCAGGTTGTAACAAGGAAACACATTGCATTTGACATCAACTCACGAGGTCTGTGATATTCTTGTAGAGGATTGAATTGGTGCCATTTGTAGTACTTTGTAGAAAAATTTGAGAACTCTAGCTAAAAAATTCAGTGACTTAATAGTTGTTGAAGCAAAAAAGTCTCCCCTACATTCGATTTCCACACACACGCAGTGAACAAAACAAACCAAGGTTTTTACGCAGTGGCTGCTTTCCCTCCCGACTCTCCATTAAGACACAAAACCCTCCACCTCCATTGTGTTTGCTCCTGTTGTCATCTACACAATAATTCTTAGTTAATCACCCATAACAGGTGCTACAATTGCACGTGCAATATTTTAGAATGCACACGCAATTTAATACTCTTTATTCGGGTTGTTAGTAAATCCGGCCCTATGTATCTTTCACCCAGTTGAAGAAACACAAACAGTTGCACAAGGGAGGTTCTTTTGTTATTGCTCTACAATGTACCCCCAAATCTCCTCTGAACTCACTGTTGATACTTTGAACTTCATCAAAATATATATAGTTGGGACTCTCAAAATCGGACTGTCTTGGATGCCATGCTCCCAGTGCATTGATGTGTGTCAGATTTAATTGTTTAATTGTCATCAGCTGCAATGCTCCATCCTCTCCCTCCTGCTCTCAGGCAGATATCCTCTGGGCTGTGGCAACACATCCGTCATGCGATGGCATCTGTTCACCTGGCAGACAGCTCGAAACACCTCCATACAAGTAGAACAGCCAGGCTCCATTTTGTCTAATCGCTTGGATAAGGTGGATGGAGTAAACAGCATCAAGAAATACTATTCATTATTAACTCCAGTGTGTACCTAACCCTATATTGGAGCAAAAGCAGTGGGAAACATCCCTCAGGACACAAAGGATACAGAGATTGTGGAGCTCTATTCTTAGTATTTTAGGAATTTATAGCTTCACAACCACACAATTCAATGAAAAAGCTTGCAGAAAGGTGACTTACAGTACTGCATTAGAAAAGAACTCCCACTGAACACAAATAAATTACATCCATCAGGTCAATGGTGAATTCTTCTTTTAAACACCATTTAGTGGAAGTACAGCAAGATAGTGCATGTATCATAGAATGGTAAATGGTCTGTACTTGTATAGCGCCTCTCTAGTCTTACAACTACTTGAAGTGCGTATACTCTACATCACATTCACCCATTCACAGACATTCATGCACTGATGGGACAGCCAGGCAATTTGGGGTTCAGTACCTTGGCTCTAAGGACACTGGACTCCAGTGCAGACTGGAGGAGCTGGGGAATCGAACCGCCGATATTCTAATTAACAGGCAACCCGCCGTAAAAACAAAAGAGTTCGTAAACTCAACATGTTGCTAAACCACATCTACAGGCAAAAGTGTGTAAAGCTGAATGGCCACATTCAAAG